AATTTAAAGGGTCTGCTTATTGTTACTTTTATGATAAGTGCCGATGGTGAGTTAAATAGAAAAAAAAGTTAAGTCTATGCGTAATGGTTTCCCATTACCTTTTGAAGTTTCTGGACAGTGTTGGGTTATTTCTACTTACCTATTTTAAAAGTATAGTTTGCAAAATAAGGCACATATATTTTTTTATAGTTTTCATGTTGAATTGAAAATTGTTAAAATTTTAGCTGAAAAAAGAGAATTATTTGTTAAAAGGCCTTTTTTATTGGATTGCATTATTAAGATCTTTGACATTTCTGTAACTGGTAGAACTGTTTTAACGAGAGAATGTTACATGCCCCTTACAAATTTTAAGCTGAATAACCTTTTGCTTTTGTGCATTTTTTATAAGAAGAAAAATATTGGTAAACTGGTTGTGATTTCAAAACTCGATGTTACACGAAGGTGACCAGATTTTAACATGGGTAAAGGGGGACATCATTTACCCTGGGGAGGGAGGGAGGTTATGGTTCAAATTTGTTGTTATAATAATTAATTTTACATAATGATAATCTGGTGCAAATGTTCATCAGGTAACACAGTATTCAGAAAAAATAAGATAGAGAATTTAGTTTTAAAGGCAAATAATTTTATGGTGTATTTAACGTCTAATGTATGATCAATAATAACACATTTTTAGGCCTCAGGTGTTCTGTGCCAGCAGTTTTTACACCATCAAGCAGCTCTTTTTCAGAATGCTATATAACTTATTGAAGGTGACAAAATTTCGGTAATCGATGTAGCCAATGAAGTTGCTGGATGCCCAAGATTCAAACTTTTCGTTATCAATATATATTTTTTAATAACAAAACCTTATTAAAGATCATTTATGGACTGTTTATTAAGTACACACAATGGTGGTTGAATTCTAACTACTGATAAACAATGTGAACTTTGCTATGCAGTTCTCAATAATTATTCAGTATTATGAAAGTTTAAAACTAACAAAAATAATACAAAGCTCATTTCCTGGTAAAATAGCCACATATCCGCCAAAAAAACATATATTCTCATCTCGTTCTGCTGATACCATAAAAATAATTCAATCCAAACTATATTCAATTTTTTATTATTATGATTATAAAATAATTGTTTGTTGTTTCATTGTTTGTTAGGATTATCAATCTGTAATAAACTGTTGTGTACTAACCTTTAGAATTTTTTTCCCATTGTACCTGATGAAATCTTTTTTTATTCATATGAAAAAAGAGTTGTATATGAAAAAAAAATTCTATTCTTTCTCTCTTTTTTGATACATATGTAACTAATTTTTAATCCTTAATGAAGTATTTTTCTAATCCTATGAAATAAAATATCAAAAATAAATGAGAGTTGTTTTCACGTATGAGGTCATTTAAAAAACTTCATCTAGTGATTTTTTACAATGATTTCTTGCTACTATCTGATTATGTACAAATATTAATATTTCAATGGTTCAATATTTTAATAAAAATATTTTATTTACATCCTGTATTGTTCCTATATGTAATTATTATTCTCTACCAAAGGCGGATCTACGGGAGAGAGGGAAAGACTTTCAGGCTGAATCCTCCCAAAATTATAAAATATAACCATGTCTTATGAAAATAATATTAATAACTTATCTCTAAAAGTATTATTGTTGATATAATTATATTTAATAGGATTTCTAGAACCACTTAAACACTCTCCCGAAATTAAATCCTGGACCCACTAGTGTTCTCTATATATAATAGCATTGATTGCCTGCATTATTTCAATTCTGGTCTAGAGCTGGCACTGATTATTCAGAATAATTGATGCTCTACTATAAGAAAATATTAGTGTATTAGGGATTTAAATAATTGTATATCTACAAATAATTTAAAATTTTTATTTTTGACATTTACTTACAGTATTATTATATAAAAAAATAAATAACAATATACATATGACATGAAAATGGCTTTTATGTAAAAAAACATATTGAATTCGATCTATCTTTATATCAGTTGTTTTTGTTTTCTAGTACAGTTTTATAAGATATTTTAGATATTTAATAACTGTGTTTAATGTAGTTATCATTGGTATTTAGTTAAGGGAGATATAAAAGAATTTGTCAAGTCTTTCAATACTTATTAATAAAATAGTTATGAAGTTTTTCATTTAAATAATTTTACTCAATAATTTGTAAGTTTGATTGATGATATTTAAATTTATATGGCATATAGTACATCTGGAATTAAACTAAGGGAGATATTATATTATTTAGGTAGGAAAAATAGTATTCAAATGAATGGATTTTAAATAAAATAAATCATATAAAAAATATAAATATATTTATTGGTCTATTTAGTTAGTTCTCGTCGATTTTATATATACATAATGATATGTACAGGTTGTATAATTGTCTTGGTCAGTCGAGTCAGTTAAGTCCTTTTCCTTACAAGCTAGATTTGGCTGAAGCTAATCGTTGTCGGTCATCGTCCTCGTTGTTCTTGTCATTGTCTGTTCACGAGCCATTAACGCGAGCTGGTGTCTCGCACTAACCTAACTCTGTCCTGGTCCAGTCTGGGTACTGTCCGCTCTGATATAAATTGTACATACAATAAGGCTTTCCTTCACAAAGCCCTACAATATTCCCATTTTTAAGTTATCAAAAAATTGATATTATTCAATAAATTATGATTTTCATTGTAATAAATAAATAAATAAATAAGTGATTGAGCGTTTGGAGAGGTGTATGTGTTGCCCGTCTTCATTGCATGCCTGAAAAATAAAAAATAAATTGCTTGATAGTTTAACTTATAATATTTTGGATAAAAACTAAAGTATAGAATAATTTAATTAATATGTTATATTTAAAATACTTAAAAAATAAAATAAAAAGGAAGTTTTTTTTTTTTTTTTTCACTGAGCATGTTATGAACAACTGTGAGGATGTTTTTGCTGAAATAACTATTAAAAAAAAAAAAGCTATATCATTATAAAGGCTATGAAATATTATGTATGATTTACATATATAATGTTTTGACATGATATGATGACAATGATGTGATCTTGATGATCAATGCTATAGATTTTGTCTGAAATCATCATAATATAAGACACAGTATTGTGTTGGGTGGTGAATTACTACAAGAATTGTAGGATAAAAATAGCAAGTAACAAATAACCCCTAAAAGGCAAAATTATGAATTTACCATAACCCAAATATAATTAAATTTGACCCTAAATATTCAGAAAATATAGATTCTGATATTAACTCATAGTCTACTTGTCAATGAAAAAAAAGAAGAAAGTTAGGTAAGATCTATTTAGCTTTCATTTCTATTGGATACTTAAATACCTATATTTCTAGGTCTAAGTGAAAGAAGTTGAAAAAATATTATGAAATAGATTTTCGGTCTGATAATAAACTTGTCATATAAAATAGAATATGGAATTTAATAATAATGATGTTGGATCATTTGCGAATTTGTCCAAGCATAATATTCCAAATTCTTTATCTGAATTTGTTAAAGATTAAATTTTTCGGAAGAATATTCTTTTATTTTATTTTTAAAATAGTGATGCAGAGTTATATAATTAATTCAAAATGTAAGGTTTAATAATTTATGTTGTACTTATAAATTTGAGAGAATAGTAAATTTTCTTTTCTCCTTTTGCTTTCTTGCTACCCAAGGCATGAAGCTTAATCTTTATACAGGAGATAAAAAATGTTTTCTTTACTTAGTATACTTTTTCTTTTCATTCTTAATTTTTAATCAACCATCCTCACTACCTATGCTGATAACACGTGTGTGTTGTCTGTCAATAATGTAGCAACTATCACAAACCCTGCAGTCACACATTTCAGCCATTGAAAAATGGTGTGCAAATTGGAGAATAAAATTAATCCAAACCAATTCTGACAAATTACTTTTACATAAACCAACAACATCCTGTCCCAACGTATCCTTTAACAATATTCCATTGATCCCTGTCAAACAGATCCGTTACCTAAGACTCCTTCTTGACAAGAAACTGCCAACAGATTCCGACTACTACAACATTTACTTGACAAACGCTCTAAACTTCCAATATTCTACAAAAAAATTCGTTTACACTACCATCATCAGGCCCATTTGGACATACGGCATTGAGCTTTGTGGCTCAACAAAAACATCAAATTCTTCCCGTATCCAATCCTTACAATCCAAAATCTTTCATAAAGTCCTAAATGTTCCTTATTATGTAACAAATAAAATTATCCATTAAGAGTATTCCTCTTGTGGAATACTTGTGCTGAACTAAATGTACCCCTTTTCATTCCAAAGTCTTTGGTCACCCCAATCCTCTTGTTAGTATCCTTTCATCCAACAGAATTCCTGATAACCCTCCGGAGGCGGCTGAAAAGATTGTTATCAGTGGGTAATTTCTTCACAAGTACCTTCGTGTAACATATTCAAATTTACTGGTTGTATTTATGTTTACAGTTTTAAATTTCACTAAAATAAAAAAAAAAATTGAATAATACTTTATAGTCTGATACAGGAGTTTCTAAACTTATGTAGTTTGAGAACCCTCTCATACCGAATTAATCAAGTAACAACAAATACAAAAATACTTGACCGTGTATGATTTTTATTGAATGAGTTATTTGAATAAAAGACAATATTTGGGGGATGAAAAGTTTTGGTTATTGGTGGACTTCGGGCAATGGCTACGCAGATCTACAACGGTTTTAATGAGTCCCACTTTTAAGAAAGATGGATAAACTAATGATTCATAATATTGAGTAACCAATTTTGTTTACTAATGTTAGCTTATAATTAATAATTACTTGGCATGATTTTAGTATAGTGTAACCAAAACTATTCTAACCAGAGTGGGAAGGTTCATTTCTTACGAAATTAATTCCAACCCACCCAGGCCGGCGCTTGACTCGAGAATGTTGAGAATGAAACGCTTTAACACACTCGACCAATACGGCCTCTTAAGACTTATTCATTAAACTACTCACCCTATTTCGGCGCATGAGCTGAGTAGGCAAGCGTGTGCGGATCGGAAGAGGCCGCTGGCTCGATGGACCTTCCCCAGGCCGAGCTGTAGGAGTCGCCGCCACCGCCTCCATGACCGTGCTCGCTGACGTGGCTGTGGCTGTGATGCGGGTGGGCTACCACCTCGTAGGTCACGTGCTTCTGCTGGGAGAAGAGCTTCTTGAGGCCGATGATGGCCGCCAAGAGGAAGGCCAGCTTGGACACCAGGAGGGCCTTACCGACGAGGAGAGCCAAGGCTTTGAAGGCTAAGATTCCCATCATACCAACCTTCATGGCACCGGCGGCCAAGAGTGGTCCCATGTTGTTCTTCTTACCTCTGCCTTCTTGTCCTCCTGCGAAAGAAAAATAAGTGTTATGACTTAAAGCATTTCTTCAACTTGACCTTTAAAACTGCTTAAAATACTAAATTTCTATAATAGTAAAAAAATCGCGATATCTCTACTAATAGTGCTTTGATTTCGATGAAACTTCCTTCATTTTTTAGGAAATTTAAATATCTTTGAAACCTCTTATCACAATATCGACAAAAAAGTGTAAACTTTTTGAGTTATTCGGAATTTAATTTTACCATCCCCCGTAACTTCCAGCTTCTTTTCGTTGAAGTATGTCATATAGATAAATTTTAAGGGCGTAGAGAAAATGACTTGAGCGAAGTTTCATGGAAATCGGTACATTCGTTTAGGCGCTTCAGTCTATAGCAACGCAGGTTTTTCGGCCGCCATTTTAAAAATAAAAGCGGATAATAATGTAGATAAAGGAGGATCATCCTCGGGTGACTTCTGATTTTATATCCAAATTTGAAAAAAATCAGTCCCGTAGTTTCGGAGAAAATTAGATTTGGAGAGGTTGTGGCCATGCTTTGAATCAGTGAGTTTGTACGCGAGTATAATAATTTTGACTCAACATAATAGACCGAAACATAACAGCAAATCATACAATTTGCTTTATCCAAGCTAAAAATCGATACATATTTATTCAATTTGTAGGGAAATAATAAACCATAGAAATTATCACAGGATAATTATCATCATAAAATTCATTATAAATTGTATAATTTTTGAGTTATGCCCAAATAACGTTTCTTTTTCTTCATAATTTTTTTTTTTACTTTTGTAGGAGATGTGTTTTTTTTTAAAAAGAATATCTTCAAAATGATGGACCAATCATTGAACTGATAAAGAATTAACGATGATATGACATACCGACATAAAAGACCTTTGAGAAACAATATATAAAAGTAATAACTTTAGAAATGTTAGAGATTTTCTATTTTGTTCAAGTTAAAAGTCAACATACTAATTTAGGGAATTTTATAAAGTGAATCATTCTCCTAAAAAGAGAAAATCCTCGCCTTCCATTTTTATGGCGTTTCTCGCAATGAGATATGTCTGAATTTTTATATAATTTAGTCGAGTAATGTTTTGATTAGTAGTGTTCAAAAATGACTAAAACACAAAGATTTGAGAAAAAAAATTAAACGTAATATTTTTATTATTTCACTGTGACGTAATCTTCGTTTTAGAAAATTATAAAATATATTGTAGAATAATGGGTGATTATTAGCTGTCATTATTTCCAGAACTGGTAAAATTTACTAGAAGATTAACAAAATTCTTTACTCTATAATTTTAATTTATCGTAAAACGGAGGACAGTATGAGTATCGCAATTTTTTCGTTTCATTGTCTTCTAAGGTAGCAAGATAGTTCCAGATAGTGATTTGAGACATATTGATCTGTATCTTACAATTTTGAGGCCTATCGATATTGAACTCCCCTCCTCTCCCCCAAAAAAGAACATACGAACAAAATAAATGGTAGACATGATGTTTTTACTATTATGTGTATTGGAGCTTTCTGAATGTATTTTGTAGCAACGATTATATGTTAATGTAAACGGAATTTCAAAACTGTAATTGGTCCTTTGCAGAGCATTGTATTAAATAGTTAATCTCATGAATTTTTAATTGAATACCTATGTTAAAATATTAAATACCACGCCAGTTCCAAATTATTGAGAACCATATGAAAGAATTCGGGGGATTTTCTGGTATTTTGTTATGTTTCAAGATATAAATAATATGGGTTAGATACAGTTTAAAGAAATTTCTCAATAGTATCGGTTGTCCATAATTTTTTATCAAGGATAAAAGTAGGACATATAAAAAATCATCCTTTGAGGGATAAGGATCAGAATCCTTCAAAAAGTAAAACTAGGTGGGATAAGTATGGCAATTTAGTGCGTGTCGAGATCTCCCGCCGACTCTGTATGCAGCTGAATAGGAAGAGACGGAGCGAATCGGAATCTTCGTCACAGTTTCTTCAGAGTATGATTGTGAGAGTGGTCTATTGTGGGGGGGCTCCTAGATTTCGGACGTGCCCAGGGGTCATCTTCAGGGGGTCTATCCAGCTCATCACGTAGCCTAAGTAGCTGCTGCCAAAAGGTATCGAGTGCGTCTTCGATTTGGGATAGGGTGTCGTGCATGTCATGATGGATAGCTATTTAGCGTGGAGGAAAAATATAAGAAAAAATTATCATTGGTCATCCGTTACTTGTCATATATTCGGGAATATGTAGAAATGTGTAAAAGTATATGTACTTAAAAAAATATTAACAATTTGATAGTAATACCGGTTATGTAACTTGGGTATTTTATTCTAAACATAAATGTTTAAAAATAATGTCGCTACTGTTAGTAACAAAGATTGTATGTAAAAATTAATTTTTTTTTTTTTTTACAAAAGAATTGATTATTTCTTTATAATTTATTTGTATAATTTCATATTTACCATACCAGCAGACTATTTATTGCAGTTGCAGAAAACGAAATGTCACTTTTATCACAAATAGAATTAACGTTTTACATACGACCTTTTGCACTGTGGTGATATGAAACCTACATATTGTAATTGTAAACACAGATTTTGATTCTAAAAAAAATAAATAATTTTCTGGACTTAGGTCTGTAGTGATGAATAATATAATTTTTTGAGTTATCTTATCTTCATAATTATTTTAAATTGTATAAGTGTAAATATTGATTTAATGAAAGGGATGGTCCTGGAATCAGAAAAACATCAAAAAAGAACTAATTACTTATTCATAAATAATAAGCAATTCTTTGATTTTTTTTCTTACCGATTCTCGGACTATCTGGTGCTTGCTTAAATGTTTTCGTTAATCTGTTTTTTTTTTTTGTTAAGATTCCGATTGTCTTTTTACCAAATATTTACAAGATGATTCCTGCACATTAAATCATTAGTATCTTTTAGTGTATTAGATTGCTATAGCGTAAAATAAAAGTTGTAACTATATTAAATGTTTTTAAGGATTTTTTTTTAGTACATTTGATTCCTCGTTTTTCAGTTTTTTTAAATATAAAATTCAAACTGAATTTTCAGAAGTAGTTACTTTCTTATATATATAAAAAAAAACTTCTAGGAAATCTTTAAAAAACGTTGAAAAACTATGGTTTTATGTATTTGAAACTATTATTTTGGCAACAATAAATCCGAGAACTGCAAATAATAAACGGAAGTACTTTACTTGGGTACCGTTCTATGGGATACGTGTGGGAAAAACTTTATTTTTTTCTACTCCTATTTGGTATTCATTCGAGAATACAGTAACATGGAGCTCAAACATGTTGGCCAAATATTGATGATACGTCATGCCAGAACTTCTCTTAAATTCTTAAGTTTATAGTGTTATTAAAATATATAACATGTTTCCAATTGTTGAAGCTAAGAAATTACTTATACATCGCATTTTTAATATATGTTATCGATACTATGCGGCCAGAGCTGTATTAAGAATACCACATAAGGAACAGCTAATAGTGTTCTAATTATGGGAAAAAACTTTTGATTTGGTAGAGAAAGTTGCATGATTCTGCTGTTAACTGATTGATAGATAAGTTCTGTATTTGGCAGAGAACGATTATATTTTATTTATTTTCTTTTTAAGAGTGATATTTAGAAAGTTATATTATTGCATGGGAAAGGGCAGTTCAATTCTGATTGAGTGAAGTGATTAAATGTTAAATGCTTAGAGAGTGGGAAGACCCGCACGACCTAACAGCCTCGCGGGCTCAGTATAATGGCCAATTAACTTTAATGTTTCTAGTCATTAGTAAGTATGTTCCTTGTCGAGTGAATATATAAATAATTTTTTAATCATACATAATTAATACACACACACACACATATGTATATATTATATATTATACATATATGTATATAATTTTATACACATACACACTTATATATTACTGTTTTCGGGATTGACATTCAAAAATACATTTTAATCTGTAGTTGCATTAGTAAAATGTGAAAAATATATTAAGAACTGTTACTATGTTGTTATTAAAAATATGAGATTTTTGAATTCAAATAATAAAAAAAAAACAAAGCTCGGGGTAAAAGAGTTGTTTAGAATAAAAATCAGCTATTTTTTTCTAAATATTACTGCAGGTTTTAAGTTTAATCTAGGTTTAAATATAAGTCCTTGAGGTGTATGTATTTTTGAAGAGGAAACTTCTTTACGCGCGTTTTGCACTTTATGTAGAGTGAATTAGGTTAAGCCGTGAGGTCTTGGATGTGTAAGGCTCGAGTAAAGTCGACTGGAGTCGACTAATTTAAGTGGTTTTGCATATGGATTAAAATATATCAGAAACTTTTATTTTTTTGGTGGTAGGCATCATCTATCTGTTTATTGAGTCATAATACAATATCAGAAACTAAGAATCGAGTCTGCATACTGCAAGTGCGAAAATTGTTCAGCATTTCATCCCCTCTGTAATAGTCTATTATTCAAAATTTTATCTTAACGCGACGCTGTATTAGGGAGGCGAAAATGAAACAAAATAGTGTTGAAAACCAAATAATAACGAGTTTTGTTGAACATATGGATTAAAATATTTCAGATACTGAAAATCAGACCTGTATACTGTAAGCCAGGGAAATGTTCAGCATTTCATCTTTTTTGTAATGAGCTATTACAGTTAATGTTTTAGATTTTTTTTGAAGCGAAAACTTCTTTAAGCGTGTTTTTCACTCACGGTTTTTGTTGAGAGTGAATTAGATTGAGCCGTCAGATTTCCGATGTATAACGCTCGGGTAAAGTCGGAGGAAGTCGATTAATGGAAGTATTTTTGCATATAGATTGAAATATATCAGAAACTAGAAATCGGATCTGCGTATTGTTAATGAGGGAAATGTTCAGCATTTCATCCTCTATATAATGAGCTATTATTTATAATTTATATTTCATATTATTAATCTCGCCGTGTTGATGTTTTCATTTCTATAGTGTGGTCTAAAGCAAATACCTTA